GTGTACTCTGAAGTACCCAAATAGAAATTTGTCCCTTCATGAAAACGTTTAGAAAACTTGATGACTAGAGACTAAGCTTTAGTTATGACATGTCTTACACACGTTGAGGAGTTCAGAATTTTATTAAAAAATGTAATATTATAAAAATTCGCCAAAATGATTTACTACCATATAATTCATTATTTTATGTTAATATTTTGAATCGATCCGGCTGTGTTATTAATACTTGTCCATGTGTCCAAAAACAGTAGCAATACATTACATAATAACAATTGTTTAGTAATGTTCCTAAATTATTAAAATAAAAGTTATACAATTAATCTTGACAGCTGTCAAGACTTTCTTCGCAATTAACAGCATTCAATGTGTATATTATTTATTCAATCAACTCACAAATAGAATATTTTTTCACTACAATCTGTTGTTGCTGTAAAAATGTTTAACTCCAATCTTCTTTACAGTTTACATGCATGTACTTGTTTTGCCTACTTACTGCGCCACTACCAAATCCAAAAGTCGTTTATTCTTAACATTTTCGTGATTACTTTTTTCATTTCTTAGTTGTACAAATTGCTTAACATTTTTTTTCCTCAGAAGAATTTAATATACAAAAAGAGACTAACCGAAAATAAAATGCAAAAGTACCTTGTCAGCTCCGCATTGCAGAATGAACTAAATTTGCTATAAATAAATAACGTCGAATAAAATGCAACTATAAACTATGAAGACTAGTGGCTCAGACATAGGGCTTGAATGTATTATAATAGGCTATTATAAAGGATGATTAAAAGAAATTAGACTATTTTCCAAACCACTTCGAATTGAATCTGTGTACAGGTAAAAAGCATCAAATGAGTTTATAATCAGTAAGTAAAATGATTTATTGTAAGATACATTACATTTTATAATTTGGATACAAGTGTAGTTGGGAACAATTATTCAAATATAATAACAATATTACTGTATAATCTTTAATGAGTTAACTGTACGATTTCTGACCTAAATTATAATAATTCAGAAGAAGGTGAATACTTTTTACTATATTAATGTTGTATTTCTTATTGGTCTCATACTGCTTTCCCAATGCAACTGACTACGTGTACAGTATTGTTCATTTCTTTAAGATGACACTCTTCACCAACAACTTCAACTTCTTTTACAAAAGAATCTGGGTCTAATATACTTCTGTATATACCTTTTAGCCGACACATTAGTTTATAATCGCCAAAATCTTCATGGCCTGGTCCTTAAAAAATAAAAAAGGTATGTTTAAAAATTTGCCAATCTTAACTTACTAGTTACTACATTTATTCAGTGTGTAAGGCGTAACTATTACACGTGATTAATGCTATATACACATGATCCGTATGGTACAGCTTTGTTAATCTGAGTCAATACATTTTTCAAATGGAGATAAAATATACTATACACCTCGTATATCAATTATGCTATTAGTCATCAAAATTGTATAAAATACACCCTTAAAAAGGAAACCATAGTTTTAATTATATAAATTAGGAAAATTATTAAAATATCAAAAACGTTAAATTTATATTTTTTATCAAAGAAAATGCTTAATTTATACCTTTTCTATAAAACGACATCACTAAAAAGCTACTTTTAGTTTGAAAAGTTTATAATATAATATTTTTCTTTACTCTTCGTTTTTAGTAAAAGGACTTAAAAAAAAAACATTTTTAAAAACAATATTGATGTCGACCATGTCGAGTTATCAGCACTTAACTGGCAGAAAAACAATAAAATATTTATTCCTCTGCAACATTTTCACTTGCCTCAAAGTAAATGAGTATTTTTGTTTAATTATGACAGGCAATAACAGGTTTAAATACATATATACACATATATATACATATATATATATATACATACATATAACAAAAATTAAACTATTGCAATTTGATATAATACTTACTTAATGCAGCATTGATAGATAGTTTTATAGAATCACGGAATAGGGTTTTTCTCTCCTTTTCAACTGCCAACGGGTCAGACGGGTCTAAATTTACGTCCCCTAGTAAAAATAAAATATGGGTTTAGCTACAAAAAAGTTACATATAATAAAATTAGCATAAATAAAAACAAAATATGCAACTTAATAATCGTCATTATTTAATGATAAATAGTGAAACACTAACTTATCGGAACACATTTGATTAATATATGTCGAATTTAGAATAGTATTTTAAAGGCAGTAACAAAACATGTATATCATTAAGCCAAACAATTAATCTTTGGGTTAATTGTAAAAAATAATAACTTTTTTCTGGAACAGAGAGTATAGGCCTTGTAAATACTAGCTACTGTTAACTAATAAATAAATAAAGCCGTAAAAAACACCCTTTAAACAATTTATATATATATTTAATATAACAAAAGCAAATGGCAATATGGGATCTATAAACCTATTGACACAAATTTGGTTAATATATTTCAAATTCAGAACAGTATTCTGTCTATTAACTAATAAATGCATAATTACCTATTTCAGGAACATCGACACCTTTAACAAAAATTTGTGTTAGTTGTATAGAAAATAAAAACCAATTTTATATTTTATCTATAACAGTATCCAAAACAATATTTATTTGGACTAGTTATTAGCCGTTTGAATAATTATTATACTTTGAACAATTATTAAAACTTTTAGTAAGAAAACATATAACTTTGAGATTTAAGAACTCATATCAAATTTTAATTTATTTTGTTTAAAAACAAAAAAAAACAATTATTTTTCGAAATTTTTACAAATTATTATATTTACCTAACAAGTCAGTTATTTGGATTTGTAATTCCACTTGAGAATGTACAAGTTCTAAAATTTAAAAAAAAAGTTCATTCATTAAAAAAAAATTGTTTTAATAATATTTTACAATATTTTTGTACATCTTTTTTTTAACTAAAAATAAATATGTAAGTACAAAATAAGTCTGAATTTATATAATTTAAGCATGTATGTCTATACATGTAAAGATTCTAAATTTAAAATTTATAAGAGTAATAATTACGCCGCAGTATTTCTCCGTATAAACCATTCTCATTCTCGTTTACTAATAAATCACTTGTTAATTCTGAAATTTATACGAGAACATTATATACTTAATATCAAACAACTATGTGCAGACACGTCCATATATTTAAGAAAAACTATTACTTGGTGCAGCAAACATACACGACAGTTGCACTAAAATTTGCATAACATAAATGTATCAGAAGTGTTATGCTAACCTAACACTTTAAAAAACTTTAATAGTTATAATTACACATCGGTGTATCTCCGCGAACAAGTTGTCTTATTACCGGTATCAAACGCACTAGAATAAACAAATAATTAGTTGATGTAACAAATAAATTCTAATAATAAGTGTATATTATACCATCACGACATTCCACCCGTTCGATTTGTCTATCTGTAATAAATAAATAAAAATAAATATATGCAAATATTTAAAATTAGAGTTAAATTTGTTTGATAAAATACAATTACTAACTTCCTAAGGCAATATAGGTTAAATAGTCCTCTAAAAATAGTTAATCATAAAATTATTTAAAGATTATAATTACATCGAGTAGGTAAGTGTAAAAAATAAAATAAATAATAGAATGATAATTACGAGGTGTATAGGTTATAGAGTCACTGCTAATGCCACTGCTGGTGATTGTTATATTGTTGTTAAAAGTTAGACGACAATCATCACCAACAACTTCAGCTTCTTTTACAAAAGAATATGGGTCTAATATACTTCTGAGTACACCTTTTAACCGACACATTAGGTATACATTACCGAAATCTTCATGGCCTGGTTCTTATAAAATAAAAAAGTTATATTTAAAAATTTGCCAATCTTAACTTACTTGTTACTACATTTATTTAACCTCATATCTCATAATCTGTTAGTCATAGAAATTGTATAAAATACACCTTTAAAAAGAAAAACCATAGTTTTATTATATGAACTAGGAAAATTATTAAAATATCAAAAAAGTTGTATTTATATTTTCTATCCAATAAAATGCTTAATTTATTTCTTTTCTATAATACGACATCACTAAAAAGCTACTTTTAGCTTGATCTGGTTATAATATAATATTTTTCTTTATTCTTCGTTTTTCAAAGTAAAGGTACTTTGAAAAACCCATTTTTAAAAACAATGTTGATGCCGACCATGTCGAGTTATTAGCACTGGTAGAAGAACAATACAAATAAAATATATATTCCTCTGAAACATTCACATTAACTCATGCCTCAAAGTAATTAATTAATACTTACTTGATGCTCCATATATAATTGTATTTATAGTAGTACGGAATAGGTCTTTCCTTTCTCTAATCATTACACTGATTACGTCTACGAGTCAAAAAAATATGTATATTTTAATTATAAACCGTCTTGATTACAATAATAATGTAATAATTGCTCGTGTTATTAATGTAGTACAATTAAGTTTTTATTTAAGTGTTCTTATGTTGAACTAGTAGCGAGTAATTTTTCTATACTTATATATTACTTAAATAAGTATATGCCAAGTAAATACTAACTACTTTTTAGTCCCAAGCAATATGTTTTAAAATTATAGCAAAGTTTGTTTTAAATATGCCATTGAATAATTTATTTTTATTTTTACAATTAAACCTATAACGTATGCATTATATTCAGCATTGTCTCGCTAAGCAACGATATATCACTAATTCATTTGCATAAATCGACGGTACATTATTAATATCACAATTAATACGGTTTTATAAGCTTCATTTTTATGTTTTGTATATTTATAATAACTACCTCTCGAAAGATTAGGGTCCAAACCCATTTTTCTCATTGCAGTACGTACTACACCTAGTACAAACAAATTATGAGTTCAGATACAAAAAAAGTTTCAAATAACAAAATTAGCATAAATAAAATTAAAATATGCTACTTTATAATCGTCATTATTTAATAATAAATAGGGACGCCATCTTAAAATGGTGCAAGCAAACGCACAGCAGATGGTTTTTATTTAAAATTTAATTTACTTTCTGCTATTGGACGGCGTTATAATATGTCTTGACCGACGGTTAAAACTCAAAACGCTAATACAGTTCTAATCTAGGTTTGAATAAATTTTTCAAAAAACAAGAAAAACTATGAAAGTGTATTGCTAATGATATAATTTGAATTATTAAAACATAATAAATTATTCCTCTATATTTTGTACATTTATCTTTATTTTGTTATTTATGAACTTATAGCGGATCTATACACCTATTGTCACATATTTGGTTAATATATTTCAAATTCAGAACAGTATTTTGTCTATTAACTAATAAATGCATAATTACCTCTTTTAGGAACATCGACACCTTTAACAAAAATGTGTGTTAATTGTATAGAAAATAAAAACCAATTTTAGATTTCATGTATAACAGTATCCAAAACAATATTTATTTGGACTAGTTATTAGCCGTTTAAAAAATTATTATACTTTGAACAATTATCAAAACTTTTAGTAAGAAAACATAAAGCTTTAAGATTTAAGAACTCATATCAAATTTTCATTTATGTGGCAATGATTTACAACAATTTTGAAATTGTATATTTACAAATTATTATATTTACCTAACAAGGTAGTTATTGCGGCTCGTAATTCTATTTCGGAATCTACAAGTTCTAAAATAAAAAAATAAAATAATTTTAATTAATGGTTACAATATTTGTGCATATATTTTCTTGAGATATAAATAAACATGTAAGTACATAATAAATCTGAATTTATATAAACTATGCATATAATTCTAAACACGTAAAGATTCTATATTTAACATTTATAAGAATAGTTACGCTGCAGGATGTCTTTGTGAATTTCAATGCTTTCATCGCTTTGCAATGGTACTATTTTACGAACTGAAATTTTAAAGAGAACATTTTGTAATTATTATCAAACAACTATATGCAGACATGTCCATATATTTGAGAAGAATTATTACCTGGTGCAGCAAACATATACGACAGTTTCACTAAAATTTACATAACATAAATGTATAAGAGATATGTACCTAATTTAACACTTTCAAATACTGTAATAATTATAATTACCCATCGGTGTATCTCCACCAACCGTTTCTCTAATGAACTGTAGAAAACGCACTAGAACAAACAAATAATGAGTTGAGGTAACAAATAAATTCTAATAATAAGTGTATATTATACCATGCTTATCTGCAACGCGGATTTGTTTATCTGTTATAAATATATGCAAATATTGAAAATTAAATTTAAATTGGTATGATAAAATAAAATTACTAACTTGTTTTTCTAAACTCTCTTATATAATCATCTGCGAAAAAAATAAAAATTACATTTTTACTTACCTCGAGTAGGTCAGTGTAAAAAATAAATAAATAAATAATAATAATTACCGAGGTCATCTGCTAAAACAGCTACCACAACGAATAATATAAAAAAACAAAAACGTCTCATTTTTATCTGCAAACAATAATAAAAATAAAAGCCTTTTGTATTAGACATAGTTATCGATTAATTATTGGCACCGATGCGAAGCCGAGAAGGTTTTGGTTTTAAAATGATAACTTCTAAATCACTAAAACGATGTTTTGATATAGTTGATCTGTAGTTAAAATTATGCTTAGTGTTATTTTGAATGAAGTTTTTGAAGTGTTTTTATTCGAAAGTATCAAATCTAAAGAATATTTCATACCAATTGACAATAATTTTGATTAGTTTTAAAATAATGATATTTATAGAGCACTATTCAAATTATCAAAAAAAAAAAAAAATGTACATATTTTATAAACTTTATAAATAAAAAAAAAATTGCTCATTTTCATAAGTTAATACATATACATATTTTTTGATTATTTTTCTGATTTTGAATGAGACTTTTTAAATATTGTGCCAAATGAGGCACATTATGGGTTCGATTCTGATCTATAGTCATGCTACACGTCTAAAACGAAGTTAAATGTTGTGATATATTATTAGTGAAATTATCTTATCTATCCACTTATTATTACTGGTAGGTAGGCTAGGTTAGGTAGGATTGTAAATCTAAACACAAAAGTAGAAAAATAGAAAATAAGAATAACTTAATAAAAATACATTAATTACTTACTAACTTTGAAATTTTTGTAGAATTCTCCTGAACTTCTATGTTAAAACAACAGTAAAATCGTTATAGCTTTTGCAGTGCGCTAATATATTTTATTTTTACAAGTGTACAAGAATGTTTAGGCTATGGTTCTTTGTTTCCAACACTGTACTGTGTGCTATTACTCATATGTTGGTCACACCGATACGAAACTTAAAAAATAAAACGCTAAATAAAATGGAAACAGTTGTGTGTTTTACACATAACACTTCAAAGTCTTTTATATGCGAACACGTTAAGTAGTAAAAAAACTTGGGCACCTAGACCATTATCAAGCGTTTTTATACTAGTACGTTATTCATATCGATACCTTAAGAATACATCGATTTACATTTTTTTAATACTTTTGAATTCTTCACAACATTTTCAAGACAACGGTCGTGGCACAATTTTAAAACTATTTTTAGTTAATTAATTATTTCAGTTGAAAAAAGTTAAAAATAGCAATTTTTTATATTGAAATAATTAATTGACTGAAAATAATTTTAAAATTGTGCTACGACCGATGCTTTGGAAATGTTGTGAAGAGCCCAAATGATTTTTTAAAAATTAAAATAGATGTATTCTTAAGGGCAGTACAATTGAAGTAGAAACATGTGTTTTTGTACAAAAATTGATCCTATTTGCGTTATAAATGTTGAAAATATCAAAAAGATACTTCTTTCTGATAGTAGTATGTATGTTTAAAAAATGTATGTTAAATTTTAGTGAAAGATAGCCTATTTACAATGCGCCTTTATAAATGCTAGTGTAGGGTCCCTTAACATATAAAATTAAAAAAACTATTTTTTTTTTACAAAGATTTACATAGTGTATCGTATTTTAATTTGAAACATATACACATTTTTTTTGATTACTTTTCCTGATTTCGAATGAAACTTTTTAAATATTGGGCCAAAAGAGCCAAAATTTAGGTCGATTACTGATCACTACAAAACGGTGTACCATTTCTGTAGTATATTATTAATGAAATGAGCCTAGGGGTTAATAGTTTATAGCAAATCTAAACACGAAAATAAAAAAATGTTAAAAAAAAAAAAATTAATAAAAATGCAATTAGTACTTACTAGC